GCCCGGGGATAATACCGTGCCAAATCGTGGGTGATTGTATATAATTTATATGGAAAATCCTAGCTTGGCATTAGCAAGATTTTGGGACAATGAATTTTGGGTCAATTATGCACTTCTATTTTAAACACCCTTTACCAGAAAAGTTGTATTCATTTGGATGATGTTAGTTTAATTGCATGCTTACATTAAATGAGTAAAAGCATTTGAATTTTGTATTTCTTGCTTTGTATGTATGCAAACAACCAAAAATAGCAAATTCATTGTCAATCAATCAATAATTTTTATTTTGTGTGTGTTGGTGTTATGTACTCAGGTGAATATATGATGTTTGTGATGTTACTGTGAGTGTGCATCCACACTGGGCAAGCTGAAAAGTTAGCTTGGCCACGGTGGGAATCGAACCTATGACCTTTGGAATACTAGCCCAATGCCCTTCCAACTGAGATACACGGTCTGGTCGGTTCGAGTGTGTATATATTTCGGAACTGAGTCTAGTTCCTTCGATATCAGTGTATTTTATGATATGATTATTTTGTGTGTGTTGGTGTTATGTACTCAGGTGAATATATGATGTTTGTGATGTTACTCTGAGTGTGCATCCACACCGGACAAGCTGGAAAGTTAGCTTGGCCACGGTGGGAATCGAACCCGCGACCGTGACCAAGCTAACTTTTCAGCTTGCCCGGTGTGTATGCACAATCAGAGTAACATCAGAAACATCATATATTCACCTGATTACATAACACCAAAACACACAAAATAATTGTATCATAGAATACACTGATATCGAAGGAACTAGACTCAGTTCCGAAATATCATCAACTCGAACAGACTTGATCATGTAGCTCAGTTGGCAGAGCATTGCAATAGTATCCCATAGATTCCCACCGTGGCCAAGCTAACTTTTCAGCTTGCCCGGTGTGGATGCACACTCAGAGTAACATCACAAACATCAATCAATAATTTGCTGCCGTTATATATCAACCTTATATATTTTTTTCTTACTGGGGATTGTCATTAATATATGGATTTCATTATATCATGATGCTGAATGAAAAGTTATTAACAAAAGCTTCCTAGGAGAAGGCAAGTTGTCTAAACAAGTGGCATTATATATAATCATTAAAGGCATTCTAAGAACTTCATGTTCTATTTGGAAAATGTTATTCTTTTGCTGGAGAGCATGTTTATGAATTACCAAGCCACGCAAGGGATGGAGTTGCCGACTTGTGGTATACAGCTTGTTTTGTACTAAATTTTTACTAATGGACTTGCTTGACATGTTTGATTGAGACTACATACATTATGCATGCAGTATATTTTACTTGTAGCTAAATATTCTATGTTGAACAGAATATTAACCCTTTAAGTGGCAATGTGCTTACTTTATTATTTTTTCTGTCTAATGTGGTCAGACAATTTTACTCATTAAGAAGAGAGTGCTGCCACTCAATGGGTTAAAGCTTTTCTGTAAATGTAAATTTTGAACAATAACTATGTAATAGACGGTACTGTGCTGGGAATGGAACCTGCTGCCCTGTAATTCTGATCAGCTTCTTAACTGCTGAGAGTCCATCGCCGCGAGAGTCAATCAAGCTACTGTAACCAAGGGTTCATGTATATAATACTAGTGTCATCCTGGGCAGTTTATTTAATACACTACCAATGACACCACCATGGTATATCTACAGCAACTTGTGGTTACCACTTGGCAAAAGGGCTCTTTAGGTCAGAGGGCTGCGGTAGAATTGCAGGGATGCAGGTTCAATTCATGCTGACAGGTTTGTAATAGTATTCCACATGTAGCCATGATATCATTCTAATCAAAATTTCATTTTAGAACTTCTTTCAAAAATATTATCGAGCGTAAGAATATATCATTTTATTATATGGCAAGCATTTGTTTTGATGAATCGCGCAATTTGATTGGCTGCTGACGAGACAGGATTTTCCCGTATTGCCCACGGGCAATACGCAATTTTTTTGCCCTGCGACAAGAGCCGAGTTTCAAACGGCAAAAAGTGTCTAAAAGTCTTTCAAAACTATTCAAAA